TACAAAATTCTTTAGGAGAAAAGTGTTTATATGTTTCAGCTTTTAGGATCACAGAGAACTGAAACTTCAACTTTATTCTTTTTTTCAAGAAATCCCTATTTGGATTACCTTTAACATTAACCGGTAGGTACATGCACCTTAGAGCAAAACTTAGCCCTACCCTGTTATTTATGACATTTTTGTTTACAAATATGATCCTTGGAATTTTGTCAACTAAATACAAAATAGGTATATCAAAGAAACAGTTTGGGCTAGCTCTAAACAGCAGAAAAAAATTTGTTGTAACTTTTTTGCTGTATGAAAGTCACATAAACCACACTTTACACGGAAAATCGTTTTTAATCAGTTTTTAGTCTTCCTTAGGCTACAAGAAGTGCAGTGTTGAAAATATTCAAACTGCTGTTATCACAAGACTTCAATGTCTATGATGTCCTAATATGGAGAGGGTTTATCATATATCTGATTACAATATAACATAGGCAGATACGTTAAGCAAAGTTGAAATCACTGTAAACTTCGGTGACTTAGCTTTTACATTTCTTTGAATTATACCCATATGATTTTACATATTCTCTTCAAGGGGTTGGTATGTCCGCTGATAACTAAAAGTCCAGCGGCTGAGAGATTCTCCAAAGATTGGCCGAGAAGCGAAGCTTCGTGAGGAAATGTGAAATTTTGGAGTTCTACTGATTCCTTGTGGCGTCGACCATAGCCTTATCAATTTTTTATTTTGTAGCAGTCATAGAATTGCATGCTATCAAAAAAACTACAGTAATCCTTCTTTACTTTAAGCATCCAATAAAAAGAAAATACTTTGAAGTAACGAATATAAAAGCGATCCTCGCAGCTATGAATACTACTGAGCTAGTAGTGAAAATAAGGCCTGAAAAAAAATTCAGGCCCGCACGGGATTTGAACCCACGACCTCTCCCACTCTGACCCATGACCTCAGGTCTTATTTTCACTACTAGTTCAGTACTATTCATATCTGCGAGGATCGCTTTCATAATCGTCTCTTCAACCGCAGTTCACATATGTATGATTTTCTTGTATTTGCAGTCATATATACCCTAAAGTCTTTGAAGTACAACTGGATATAACACAGTTCTTATTAACCTTGCAAATTCTTACTTAATATATAACTTAACTTAGATATTTAACAGGCTTTAATGTTTCTACCTCAGTCAGCGATATCTAGGAGAGAAAAATGTTGTAATGAGTTTTGAATAAAAATCGTTTTGTCCCTATGTATCGTAATAGCTCATTGCATATAATATGCATGACCTGTGTCACACATGAACCGAGGCCTGGCCTAGATCATAATGGAGCTCTCTGCATCTCGGTGGCAGTGGACTCAAGAAGTGCATTTCTTTTGTGCTTTAGCTGCTTCCTTCATGCTTTACAACAGACCAGAGCATAGTTAAGGCTTCTCTATTTATTAAATGTTACATGTTCATATCACGTTT